TTTTCTTTAAAAGACATCACTGATTCACCTAAAGTAAAATATTGAGCTGACAAAAAACGATTAGCCAAGTGTTTTAGTGTAGACCATTATGCAGACAAGTGAACGATTAGTCTAATATTCCCTTAAAAAATTTAACAGACAGGTAACGATTAGCCTAAAGTTCCCATAAAAAACATCAAGCAGACATGTGAAGATTAGCCCAATGTTCCCATAAAAATCATTAAGCAGATAGCTGATGATTAGCCTAATGTTCCCATTTAGAAAATTAAGCAGACAGGAGAACGATTAGTCAATGTTCCCATAAAAAAACATTAAGCATTCAAATGAAAGATTGGCCAATGTTTCCATAAAAATCATTAAGCAGACAGGTTACGATTAGACTAATGTTCCCATAAAAACATTAAGCAGACAGGTGACGATTAGCTTAATGTTCCCAGAAAAAACACTAAGCAGACAGGTGACAATTAGTATAGTGTTCCCAAAAAAAACCATTAAAAGACAGGTGAAGATTAGCCTATTGTTCTCATAAAAAAACATTAACCAGGCAGGTGACGATTAGCGTAAAACCTTTGTTATATGTAACGTACACCCATCATTAAAGTGAATTTTTATGTGCCAAAACTGTTATTTTATGTCAGTACTCCACGTATTAACCAAGGGAGTTATATGCTGAGAAATTATATAAAAAATACCTAGAAATCAAACTATCCGCGCAGATAGTCTTGTTGCTTTGCGCCATGAAACTCCAACTAACCAGCCAGTCAAATTATCTACAAATTGCAGTATGTATAGCTTTAACTTCGTATTTAGATTTGAGATCTTTTTCAAGATAAAGGACAGAACTTACAAATTTCAACGCTCTCAGGTTGTTTATCAATATGTTTGTTCTCGTTTTGCATAAGAATATGTAGGATCAACAACGCGTCGTTTAGACCAACGTGTAGAAAAGCACCCGAAGCCTTGTAGTTCGTCAAACATCTACAGCTAATTGGATCAAGGATATGATAACACTACTGATGAGAACAGCTTCACCATCGTGTGTAGCTCCAATAGTGAGCAAGACACCAGAATAAAAGAAACTCTGGCGATTAAGAAACCCAAATGTGATTGAGCTTTAACTCATCAGCATCAACTTTGTTACTTGAAATTTTGAACTTTTCTGTGAATTGTTTCTGAAGATGGCTCCAGTGAGTGCCTAAAGATTGTGTTTATGAATTGTGTATAAAGATATCTTGTTTATTAAATGCGTTGCAGGGGGAGAAGGTTTGAGGATTTTGTTTCGTAACCTGGCGTTCCTAAGTGAAACAGTGGTTAAGTAGGTGAAGATTATTTTAGTTAATATTTTATTTCTTTAGGATAATGGAACAAAGCTATATAAGGGCCAGTTACACCATTCCTGATATTGAAGCAATAGACTAGAGGAAAGTCAGCTAGGAAATAAAACCTACTGCCTATTTTTTTGGTTCTTTTAAACTGATTAGTGAGATTTTACTCCTTACATCTCAACCTCATCCCAAAGTACGAAGCATGATTTTGCTGCATCTGGACAGGAAACATGAACTGTTGAATTAACAGTCTAGTTGTTGTTATTATGTTATTTGAAGTTAAGCACAAAGCTACACAATGGGTTATCTGTGCTCTGCCAACCACGAGTATCGAAACCCGGTTTCTAGCATTGTAAGTCGGCACACATACCGCTGTGCCACTGGGGGGCAACAGTCTAGTATGCTAAGGATTAGTCCAAATACAGCCCAACAGTTGGAGTTTCAGAGATTTAAAAAGGATTGAGTACGTTGTATTAAAGTCAGAGTGGAACGGAATATATCACAGCTACATTTTGACATTGTTTGGCATTTTTTAAATTGATCACTTTTGGGAAATGTAACTATTCTTTTCGATGCAAAATATTCATTATTCATACACTCAACTCATTAAACGTGTATATATTTGAGATTTAGAGCTTTCAGCAAGGAAAAAGTGAATATGGTTCAACTTGGGGCACCAGGACCACCTAGAAAGAGATGTTGAACAAGTCGTACCTCAGTGGTGGTAAAAAATGCGATATTTTGTAACAGGTAAAAATACGCAAAGACACGGGCCAGTGGTAAAAGTCGTCCATGTTTCTCAGGCAACAGTAAGCAAAATAATAAAGAAGGATATCGATCTGGAAATTAAACCACTGGGTTATGGGTTCACCAAGATAAGGTTTTCCATTCAATCATCCTATACCTCTGGAAGCTAGAGACTGAAACAAAGACATACAGGTTAAGTCGCCTGTGAAATTTTGTAAATAGGGCTGTTGAGATAGGCTTTGGGAAACCGTCATCCTCGTACACTAGGTGGATAGTGAAAAGTGCAGGGAGGGGTGATGTGCTTTTAACATGGCAACCTTAAGATGGAGCATTTTATAATGGAAAATATGCTGCAGGGATATTGTCAGATAAAGCATGATTGGACATGGTGACAGGAACTATAACGATGTGACGAAGCTCCATAATTGTTTGATTATAGCATACTCAACCTTCTCTGTATAACAATGGAAGTAAGAGCGCTCCTCGCCTATCAAATACACACTTACTTGTGGTATTTTTCCAGGAAATGTATAGATCAGTGCTATTTCACACTCGTTTGCTTCTTAAGTACGTAGCTTAACTAAAAACTCGGAAAATGAATAAGAAAAGAAACATTTTGGGAGCCAAAGGTTTAAAATCAAAAGTATGACCTCTAATTAGGCACTTCTAACCAACAAATAACTTCAAGTGTTCATAACGGTTTTGAGCAGGCCAAGGTCAAAGTTTGAACTGCATTTGTAGTATAAATTCACGTATTTTCTGTTTGTCTTTACAGGTACCAGCATATTGCATCTTTCTTGTTGATACACTCTTTGATTTGATTTACTTATCTGACATTGGGATTCAGTTACATACCACATATCTCGAGGATGGTATTCAGGTAAGATATTAAATATTGAAAAAAACAAGGAAATTATAAACATATAGAGGGATAAAAGTAAGGATTGTAGAAAAGGGATATGAAAAACTTAGAATAAAAAATTAATTATATGTAAAAAGTAGCAGAGAGAAGTATTGATAAACGATCGAAGCAAGGTGCTCGTAGTGTACAGGTAGCTCCTCAGGCGTTCTACATGAAGAAATCGTCTTTACCTCTGAAGTTTTATTCATAAGTTTGAAAGAGAGAATGGAGAAATTATCTCTACCTGTAAAATTTCATTCAGTAAAGTTGAGAGAGAGAAAAAAAATTATTTTCACGTATTCGTTATATTTCCTTCTATAAAGTTCATTATCGATGAAACTATCACACCTGTATAATTTAATTGAAAACTGCTATCTGTCTGGTCTAACACCAAATAAAACAAGAGGGAAGTCTAATTCGACTAATGACTGTTACCTGTCTGGGTTAATAACTATTAAAACTGGGAGGTAGGTCTAATTCAACTGATCACTGTTATCAATTTGGTCTAACACCAGATGAAGCCAAGCAACAAGTTTAGCTCGGCCAATGACCATTATCTGTCTGGTTTAACACCAAACAAAACAAGGAGAAAAATAGAATTCGACTGATGACTGTTACATGTCTGTGGTAATATGCATTGAAACTGGAAGAAAAGTCTAATTCGACAGGTGACTGTTAACTGTCTGGGTTAATACCAAATGATATCACAATTTGAATTATGAGCATATTTTTGATGGGAATAACTTTAAAAGTGTTATGGAAGAAAAGATCTTGCTGTTATGGTTGATCAGTCTCTTAAGCCATTCCATCAATATGTTGTTTCTAGTGGTAGGATAAATAGAATTTTAGTCTAAGAAGGTTATAATATTATTGTATAGGTCATTGGCTCGCCCACATTTGGAATATTATGTTCACTATTGGGTTCCTTACTATAAAAGGGACGTTGACTTGTTTTAAAGTGTACATAGGACGGATGTTTGTCTATTTGTAATTAAGCACAAAGCTACACAATGGGCTATCTGTGCTGTGCCAACCAGGGGTATCGAAACCCGGATTCTAGCTGACATAACGCTGTGCCACTGGGGGCTACATAGGACGGCTACTAGGATGATACCTGGGAGAGAAAGTTTGTTATATGAGAATATGTTAAAATATCTGAACTTGTTTTCTCTTGAAAAAATAAAAGTTACAGGAGATCTGATTTATGTGTTTAAGATTGTTAAGAGAATTGGTAGTGTTGATGCTTTATCTTTTTACATATCTATTGTGAGAATGGTAAAACTATGGGACACAAATATAAATGTTGGCAAGGTAGAAGTAATCTTGAGTTAAGACAGCTTTGGAACGGGTTTTTTTCAATGTGGTAGATGCAAGTAATTTAAGGGAGTTTAAAGGAAAGCTTGATAAATATCTGAATGACAAGGGCTGGCTGGTTTTTTAGAGATTAGTTTAATTTAGTTGATAGGACAACCTAGATGGAGCAAAAAATCCCTGATTGTCTTTTAATGTTATGTCATGAAACCAGAGAAACATGTAGTTCGATAGATGATTGTTGTACGTCTGGGTTTATACCAAATGAAACCAGTAGAAAGATTTGATTCGACTGCATGCTGTATGTCTAGATGATCAACACCAAAACAAACCAGGAGAATGGCCTAATTTCATTAATAGCTATTATTTGTCTGGGTTAATACCAAATGAAGCCAATAGAAAGGTCGTATTCGACTTGTTGTTATCTTTCTGGATTAACACCTAGTGAAGCCAGTAGAAAGGTTTAATTCAATTGATGACTATTATCTATTTAGACTAATACCAACTGAAGCCATGAGAAAGGTCTAATTCGACTTATAACTATTATCTGTCTGGGTTAATACCAAATGAAACCAGGCAAACAATGTAATTTGACTGATGATTGAAGTGATATAGTAAAGAATGCTAGAAGTGAAACAATCTTTGTAGGGCATATAGGGGCTAATAATGTAGTGAAGGGTAGATCAGAGGATCTAATTGTTAAGTTTAGTGAATTAATAAAGGCATTCAAAGAAAAGGGTCATAATAACTTAATTATTCCAGGGATACTGCCAAGATTTAACTGAGAGGGTAAAATTATAAGTAGATCAATATACCTAGGTTAATATGTAAGGGAGAGAAGTTTGGCTGTTTGCTTTTGTGGGATCAGTTCAGTGAGAAAAGGGAGGTTTTTCGAATGGATGATTTACATTTAAATAGGGTAAGGGCTGGTTTGTTTGCAAGGGCTATTAACTCTAAGGACAGTTTTAAACTAGTACTAGACAGTGGACAGTCCCAGAATGTCAGGTTTTTATATGTATGGATGTGCCGGATTCTTTAACGTAGGTATCTGTAACTGTGGCAATAAATGTCAACAATAAACAAACAGCACACAGTCCACCTGTTTTAAAATGATATATGAAAACAAGTCAAACGTATATACAAATTTTCATTACACTGTTGGTTATCACAGTTGTATCTAAAGCTTTAAATAATCGTGTCTTTTCGCCAAAGTCCACACAGCCTGGTTCAGTTAATTTAGAACACAACTGACAAGCCGAATTATTCTTCTCTGCTCTATTATTACAATACAATTGGTGATAGGTTCACTTAAGTTACACTGTTGGTTACCACAGTTGTATTAAGAGTTTTAAATAATTCTCTTTTCGTCAAAATTCCACACAGGTTTGTTCAGTTATTTTAGAACACAATTGACAAGACAAATTATTCTTCTACTCTGTTGTTACAACACAGTCTGCGATAATTTCACTTTTAAAAAACGCCACTATAAGCTCTTTACGGCTAAGCTCACAAACACACAGTGTAGATCTATCTATCTAACTTACTTTGTCTTACTTTCTATATAACTAACTCGAACTATATTTTGTACGCGTATTTATAGCCTGACCGAAGCCTAGAACTTTTTAGGTTCTAGTAATATGATGTAATAATACAATCGCCAACTCACAACAATGGACTACACAACTTATGATTCGTACACAGTTACATAAACAAACCTGCAATAAAGTATCGCTTCTAAACACAACTAAATTTAACACATGCATTAACCTTAACCGGTCGTGTATATCTAACACAGAATAATGAATAAAAAGTAAGATGTAGAAAAGAGTATATTGTGTTAACAAGATACCAAGATAGTTTTAATGGTAGGCTAAACTGTTATGATTTTAATGCTAGAAGTATAAGAAATAAAATGGATGACTTTGGAGCACTGGTTGAAACAAAGGATTTTGATATAATGGGAATAGCTGAAAACCTGGTTAAATGTTGACAATTTTGTATCTACAGAAATATTGAATATAATTCCAAAGAGGTTATTGTCGTTGTATAGGTCATTGGTTAGGTACCTTTTGAAATACTGTATTTTGACTTAGGATCCTTACCTCAGAAAGAACATTGAATTGTTGGAAAGAGCTCAGAGGAGGGCTAATAAAACAATACCTGGGATGGAGATGTGAGGATAGGTTAAGATCTATGAACTTGTTTTCTTTAAAAAAAAAAAGAGTTAGAGGGGATGTAACTAGGGTCTTTAAAATTGTTAAAGGAATTGATAGTCTTGATGTATCATTTTTTTCTTATTTAATGGTGAGAATGGTAAGACTAGGGGACACAGATATAAACTTTGGCAGGAAAAAAGTAATCGGAAGTAGCTTAAATAATCGTGAACCAATAAGATATGGCAGTTGTACACCTTTTCTATAGATGTCTAAATAATCCATATAACAATCTCTACACCAAATCGTAGGTGATGTAAATGTTTCTTTACTTTCGTGACAAGTCTTCAAGCAATTCAAAAAGAAAGAAAACAGTTCTTTCCAAGTTTAAGATTTATTAGAGAATGCTATTTTTCGAGTTTTTTCTGTTCACGATGTTACAACTTCTCGCATTGAAGTTTGACATTTAAGATTCGATAGTATGTTTATAGATGTGTTGGTGTAAAATCATTAGTAATAATTTCAATAACCAACAAAGATAATACTTAAACTATACATTTATTACATAGGTTTGTGATCCACCCAAACTAAGAAAACACTATACAAGTCAATCTCAGTTCTTTAAAGACATACTTGCCATCTTCCCAACAGAAACGTTATGTTGGATTTTACCAGGTAGGCTTTTGATCATGAGTTGTTTCTTGAAGATATTCCATAATTAACGCTTTTGAACACAATGAACAGTTCATGAACTGTGTGGTACGCCCTAATAATCTTACTATTTTTTGCTATTTTAAGATTCTAAGTGTATATTAGAGTAAATATTTCGGAATATTTACTAAAATCCGTAAAATGTCCAACTCTCTGTAATTCAATATATTATCTTTACTGTAAATATGTCTCTTGAACATTCGTTAGTACATGCGAGAGAATAGTTTCATTTGACCTATTCTTTATTTTTCTAGAATTTTTTTAGTATCACTTCGAAATCTCTATACACTCCACCTTCATCAAAGTGTTTAATTCTTACGTAATATGTATGTTTACTTGTTATTTTTAATTTCTTTAAACCCTGATGTTTGCTTCAAAAATCACTGAATCTTAAAGATTATAGAATAAGAATGTTTGATTTTGGTTCCCTACGTAGAAGTTATTATAGGCTATGTTATGCGTAATGTTGAATATTGACAGCGAAAATAAAAGTTTTAGACTTCTCAGGATAATTTGACTTAATAAGTTATGCGAAGTGATGTTTGTCAACGAGAGATAATATTAGGTAATTGTAAAAATGAATTAGAAAAGAAAAGCTTAACCAATATGAGGTAGACCATTATTTATTAGGATTAGGGAGTGGCTTATTATTTAACTAGGGCGTGTTATAAAAGTGACAGTCAGTGCCGTTATTCCGCGCAAATAAACTGACAAGGCTCTTATGACGATGGGTGCTGCTGGTTCAGGAGCTCACATTTAGGAAGGCCCGGAATGGCCAGGTGGATAAGGCGCTCGACTCGCAATCTGCGGGTCGCGGGTTCGAATCCCTGTCCCACCAAACATGCTCGCCCTTTCAGCCGTGCGGGCGTTATAAC